CGGGGGGTTTACTCCCGACTGGTCTAATCGTAGTTGTATGTATACTTTCGCGTGATGGGAGCTAACGCGTACTCTGTCGGCGTAGTGTCAGGCAAAGGCCGATGCCGATTTTGTACGAGGGGAATGGCAGTGGTGTGAGGCATAGGTAAGGTGGGAGTGTGGGATATGGGGTATTTGGGTGTTGAGTGCGGGGTATTGTCCATTTTTTATGTTTGTTTCGTTGTTGTTTCATTGTCGTCTTCGTTACTTTCATCCTTCTCATCCTTCCTTCTGTCCTCTTTTCCTACAGCGACCTTCGTCCGGCGAATGTCCTTCCCTTCGTTACTTCATGAGGTGGTGGTTGTACATGTGTATGATACAGGTGTTTTCGTTGAGTGTCGTGGCGTGGTTTTGTATGTGGATTTTGAGTGTGTGGTATCTGTTTGGGTACGTGTGCGTGAGTTGTTACTTGTTAGCTAGTCGTGATCTCACCGAACGTGGTCTTGAAGTGTCCTGAACTGTTTATGAATCTCATGAGAGGCGTGGTGGCGTTATCTGATGTAAGGATGTATTCGATAGAGGATGCTTTGCGTCTGAGGGCATTGGAGAAAATGTGCCGTTCACGGGTGTACTGCGGACAATCAAAAAGGTAGTGGAATATCGTTTCATCCATTCCTGGGCATATGGGGCAGTGCGGGGAGTCGGCTTTTCCAATACGAAAGAGATGATGGTTCAAAGGAATGTGGCGTGTTTGAAGCTGGGTGTAGATACTGGTTTGGCGTCTGGGGAGGGATGATACAAGTTTGAGGTAGCGGTTCGACGGCATGCTGGGGTCAATGATCTTTGCTCTTGTGTAGCGGGGTGAGTTTTTCCATTCTTCGCTCCATCGTTTGTTCAGGGCGTCTTGATGCCATTGTTTCAGCGCCGACACGCTATCCGGTAGCGTTTTATCTTGGAGGTATACCGGGAGTCTATTCCTCACGCTGCTTGCTCCTTCTGCGGCTTCCTTCACCGCCACGTCCGCCATCTCATTTCCTATGACCCCCTTGTGCCCTGGAATCCACCTGACGGTGAGGGCGAAATTGCGTCCTTGTTCTCGTCGTTTCTTAGCTAACATGCGCGTCATACCGCGGAAGTGTTCTACCAGGTAGCTTCCTGGTTTCGTGTTGTGGCTTTCTCCCGATAGTATAGCTGCCCGGTTGTCGATAAAGATAGAGGCGGGGTAGGTGACGTTAGGTTCTGTGGCGAGGAGTTTGGCTGCAAGGGTTAGTCCGACGACCTCGGCTTCATAGACGGTGTGGGTTTTGGCTGGTCCGAGATAGTACTTGATGGTGCGTGGTTCCTGTCCGTTTCGTAGGAGCGTTGCTGCGGCACCTATTCCGCCCTTATAGCCTGATCCATCTGAAAAGATCTGGATGTCGTCTGTTAGCTCGTGCTGCTCCTTGATGGCGTCTTTCTCCTTGATCGTTATGTGGGTGTTGTAATTGTTGCGATGCTGTGCGTTGGAGGGGCGAATGGGGTCTAGGGTTTCGATGTTATCTGGGAAAATATGGTAAGTGGCTATTAAGTTGTGAAGAGATGACCGGTGTCGCTTGATACTATAATGCTTAGCTATGTGTTTCAGATGCGAGTGAAGGGGATGACGTTGAGGGAGCGTGGCTAGTCGAAGTGCTGCTCAGTGGCATATTTTCTGAAGGAGGAGGGCGGTGGGTAACAGGTTCGAATGAGCGTCTAGGATATCAGTAGCGGTAGTTCTCATCGCCCCGGTGATACTTAATGTGGCTATCTGTTGTACTCTTGCTAGCCTTTCAGCCGTACCAATGGATCCGCGTTGTTCGTTTGTCGAGTTTTCGGTATAGATGGGTCTGAACCATAGGTCCGCTCCGTACGAGAATTTCGGTACTGCTACTGTGAGGTAGAGCTAGCGCATGAGCTTTGCGGATATTCCGTTCGTGGGTCTTGATAGTCGACGGATCTGTAGAACATACTCTGTACCTTTGGTGATAGCGTGGTTCACATGGTGCTTCCATGTTAATTCTTGGTCGACGATGAGACCCAGGAAGCAATGATGTTCGGATGGCGTAATGGTGGTGGATTGAATAGTTAGCGGGGGGCGATGTCGAGATTTGCTACGAGTGAAGTCTATAAGGGCGAACTTTCCGACCTCGAAGCGTGAGTTATGGTCTCTTGCCCACTGTAGAGCGCCATTCGGCCTTTCCATCATCTTTTTGAGGGTTTCGTGGGTTTCTTCAAATGTCGATCCGATCGCGATGTAGGCTGTGTCGTCAACAAACGCTAGCGCTGATTCTTTGTTTTTCGGGTTAGCTACATCTAGGAGGTCAGTGTTATAAATCAAGTAAGCTATCATTGAAAGGGGATCTCCTTGGCTGATGCCGTTTCATATGGTGATCCAATCGGAGGTTGCGTCGTTGAACTTGAGTTGTGTTTTTCGATCCGTTAACATGCGTTCCGTGAATGTGGCGATTTCAACGGGGAGTTTGCGTTTGCGCATGTTATGTACTAGACGATCCGTGACGGAGTTTGGGAACGCCCCTTCAATGTCAAGGAATAATATAGAAGCTACTTTACCGGTACGCCAAGCGTTCTTGATCGTGGATTCGAGGATGTGGAGGGAGTCTGTGGTGGTCCTTCCTGGGCATCCGCCGAAGTGATTATCGGGGAGTAGGTTGTGCTTCTCCATTATATACGTTACTTGTTCTGCTATAATGGCTGTTAGTACTTTGCATGTGGTATTAATTAGCGCAATTGGACGATACGCTTTGGGGAGCGTATAGTCCGGTTTTCCCGGTTTCCTCAGAACTACTGTCGTGAATTCCTTCCATCCAGTGGGGTAGGTGTTGAGCGTGAAGACTGCATTAAAAAGCTGTAGTAGGTATGGGATGATGATTTCGGCGATTTGCTTGAGGATGATGTTGCACACTCCGTCGGGGCCCGGAGCTTTATAGGAGCTGGTATTAGCTATCGCTTTGGCTATGTGGTCTGCTGTGATGGCGGTGAACGGCATGGCCGGGTCTGGGTAGTCGAAGTCGATGGGTACTGAGCTATTCGCCGGGGGAGGTGGGAAGAAGGTAGCCGCTAACGTCTTACTTTTGTCCTCATTAGAAATTGCTTCAGTGGGTTGACCGTTCTCGTTCTTGGTTTTGAGGGATGGGACGCTGGTCCTGCCACCATCTCCCATTGGTGAAGTCATGTACTTGCTTGCCGTATATACACTATGTTGATCGAGTTCCTCGAGGTAGTCGACCCAGTGTTCCTGTTTCGTTCTGCGGATCTCTTCTGTCACGTGGTTGCGGAATTTCCGGTGCTCTTTGTGGATGGGGTGATCGTTCAGTCCTCTCATCTTGTAAGACATATCACTTAGCTCGTCTTTCTTGGCTAGAAGCATAGTTAACTCATTTGTCCACCAGCGTTTGGCGTGTGGACTGGGTTTCGATTTAGGTACTTTCTCCTCGATCGTTAGTTTGAGCGCCGTGCTAAGGCTGATTGCAGCATCTTGAAATTGGGCTTCGGTGGTGAGAACTTGGGGAGCGGGATGGCTGGCTAGGTTGCGGGTTAGGCAGCCTCTGTAGGTGTCCCAGTCCACGTCGCGGAAGTTGAAGGTGGTGGTGGTCGAGGAACGGGGAATCTTGAGGTCTAGGGTGCTTAGAATTGGGACATGGTCAGTGCAGGGCGGTCTACGACGCGGCGCGGTGTTACACATCGAGAATGATTCTAGGGTATGTGCAGTACAAAATACATTGTCGGGGCGGGTCCAGTTTCCACTGCTCGTGGATTGGAGTGTAGGTTTGTCTTTTGGTAAGGCCATCATTAGGTCGTTATCGGCGAGGAGTTTGATTAGATGTTGAGATGTTTCTACCGCTTCGCGTGGGGTGTAGAGGTGGGCGTTCCTGTCCTCCTCCCAGAGGGGGTGATGGGCATTGAAGTCCCCTAGGAGGATGATGTGGTCATTGGCTGTGGGGTGGATGGTGTGCGCTTCATTCTCCATGTATGTAGCGATTGCTGGTATTGCTGCTCTGATCTTGCTATCGTCGTAGACGTTGATAATGGTGATTCTTCCGTATGTACCATTTAGTTGAATGATTACGACGTCCGCTGATGGGAAGGGGAGTTGGCGCCAGTTATTTGTGTTGATGCGTTTGTTGACTAGTGTAATTGCTCTTGATTTTCCTTGATGCATATACCGGTGTGTGGGATATACCACGTTCCAGTCGGGAGTAGCTCTGGTGTTACCTAGGGAGTCAGTACACAGTTCTTGAATTACTACAATGTCGAAGTCTTTGGCTGTAAAGGGGCCGCTGAGGATACAGTGTTGGGCGGCGTCTGATTTATTGAGATTCTCCTGCCAGATGCGTAGCTTGACATCGTTGTTGATGGGTGTATTATTCATATTGAGTGATGGGGGAGTTGGAACCTATTGATTGGGTGGGTTGGGTCGTGGAGCGGTGTCGAGGGGCTGATAGTCCTCGGTTTGGTGGTAGGTAGCTTCCTCTGCCTGGTCTGGTTCCCCTGGGCGCGAGGTGTCTTTCGAGGGTGTCTTGAGTTGGGAGGTGTTGATGTTGTTGATGATTTGAGGTCGGAGTGCGTTCTCTAACGAATGGTTTTGCTTTAGGCGGAATTTGTACTTGGGTCCACGTATCCTCTGTTGGGTAATATGGCATTGTATTTTCTGGGTACCTGTTATCGATGTCAATACACTTCCTTTCGAACGTTGGGCATTTTCTGTCCCAGTTTGCGTGGTCTTCGGATTCGCATGAGATGCAGCTTTGGCTATTTTTATTGTCGCATTCGTTTGATCTGTGTGGTCCTGAACAGTTAGCGCAGACATCAACGTGAGAGATACATTCCTTTGCTATGTGCCCGTATCGTTGACATTTTGCGCATCTGATAGGTTCTCGTCGATTTTTCTTCATTTGGAGTCTTGCTTGGTTCATTATGATGCCGTCGCGAATTCCTTGGTTGGCTGCAGCTGGGTTGTTGAATGAGGCGATGACGTGTGCGACTCACTGGTTGCTGGCTCGTTTTCCCGGTGGTTTGATCCATCTGGCAGAGACTAGTTCTCCTTCATTCCATTTGTTTTCGATTTCGAGTTCACGGAGGTGCTCTGGGTCGCTAGGATTAAAGGTTAGTGGGACAAATTGGATGATTGCTGGGTAGATTCTGTCTTTGATCGTAGCTGAGGGGTCGAGGATCTTGATGAATTCATTTTTGATGTCCGGTTTCTTGATGTATGTTGCGCCTTCGGTGGTTAGCATTTCTAGGACAGTTCCTCCGTTACGATACTGAGTTACTGTTCGAATGGTTAGTTCCGGGGCTCCTTCCTTGCTGATTGTCTTCAGTGCTTCTTTTATTTTCTCTACGAGTTGGCTGTGGGATAGTTTACCAGGGCCTAGCGGACTGTCAGGAGGGAGGCTGATCAGTATCTGACGGGCCTTAATCGCTTCACGTGCTGTTCTTTGAATGGTTTGCGCATCGAGACGGTTGTCTTTAGGTCCTGATAATAATGCCGTTTTGTAGCTTCCTTGTTGTTGGGACGCTTCCTTGACTTGAGTAGTAAGGGTGGTGACCGCCTCTTGAACATTGGCTAAGCGGGAGTCGAGCGCAGCTGTACCTATGAAGGCGTCCACGTTGTTGCCACTGATGGAGGTGATGGATTCATTGATCTTCTCTTGGGAACCTTCCATTTTTGATGCGATAGATGTCATGGATTCCGATATTCCTTGGATATTTGCAATGTGGGGGGCGATGGCCGTGATTACCAGTTTAGCCACTGAATTGGCCGTTACAACTTCTGCTGCTTCTTCTAGTATGAACGCTATTGCCCTGATGGCTGTTTGGACTGGTAGTGTTACCCCTGGCATTTGAGTGATGTGGAATAGGATGTCTGAAATGTTGTCAAAGGTGTACGGTTTGCCCAGAATGGCCATTGCCGTCTTTTCTAAATGAGCTTTAGCACTTACCGCGTCCGATACCTCATTCTTGGTAGCTATTATCTCTTGGGTTCCCAGTCTTGAGGAAGATCTGGTGTTGGCTGTACTAGGTCTAAATGTTCCAGTCGGGGGTGGTGGCATTGTGTTTTCGCTGATTTTCTATGTTTTCCTTGGATTAATTATGTTTGGACTAGAGTATTTATGTTTTTAAAGCAGATGTTTATGAGAGTAGCAAGTATCTTGGGGGCCGTAGCCTTCTTTGACGCTGTTGAGCGCAGTGTTTGACTTTTCGGAGTCTGGGGTCTTTGCAGGGGTGCCACTTGGTTTAGGACCAAGAAGCGATTTCATTACAGTTCTTACCCAATGCTGATGGTTTCTCTCACTCGCTCGCTTGATGGCTGCTGACGCTGCGCAGGTATGCACTGATTTTTTTTAATTTTAATTACATTCTTTATATTCAAATGGTCCTGACTGTCAATCTTATTTCATGACAGACACTCTTGTTTGGATCCGTCTTAATCTCCCCTTCCACGTGCGGATACCATGTGACAATTCCTAAACTCACTGTGCAGAGTCACTGACAAATATCAAGGCGACCAAAACCATTGAGTTCTGACGTGTTAGTTGTGGCAGCTTTCTGTGCAGAGTCAAAGGGCCAGTTTGGATAGTCATTGATTCCCCGATATTTCTCACTCGCTCATTATATCTGACCGCTTGCTATGTTCTTCTTATGGTTTGTTTTACTTGTATGAGTCGTACATTACCACATTAACCTGATACATGATTTTAATGATATCATCAATTTCTTCCGTGTACTTCAAGTGTGAAAATCTTCCTATTTGTGTTTCCTAAGGTGTGCAAGGCCTTCCTAGTTGTCTACTAGGACATCTAATTGTTCTAAATAGCAGCAAGGTATGGCTAATTAAAAATCAGCAATATAGTCTGGCCATTTTGTCTAGCCCATCTAATATGTCTAATATGTGTTAGCTGCACAAAAAAAGATCTAATTTGAACAGCTTTACCTAAGTTTACATGGGAGGGTTTTCCTGATGGTCCCATAATGCTCCTCACTTTCCATATCATTTTCATAGTCAGATAGCTCCAGGAGAGACCGATCCCAGGGACGGACGAGAAGAAATTGCTGCTCAGTGGGCCTTGCCGGCCAGAATTTAACCAGGGTTTCTGCGGTGGTGATGAGCAGGTAGTAAAGTCTGTCCACCTTCACCCTATACATGTGATGACTTTCTGGGGTTGGACTGCCCACCCAGCGTCTGACTTCCGTAACATTAAATGCAATACAAGGCAAATGCGACGGCTTAGTGCTTTCCGCACTGGTATCAAAAAGCTCGCTCATCAAATCGTTGTGTCTCGATTCACACTTAGGAGAGGTTGTTCCAACGAGGTTGAAGAGCTCCTGAAGAGTCACAAGTATATTTTTCTGACTAACCAAAATGTGAGTGGTTAGTGTCATGTTTCATTGTCGATATTGATGTCACTGCCCAGGGTAAAGTCCTTGGTGATCAACCTTTCTGCGACGAGGCCATGATCAATACGCTACATCAGTCATTGTTTGACGGCGAGAACTCGATTGGAGTTCAATCACATGAAGATTTTGTGTCGGTCTTAGATGGCAATGATGAGCCGGAGCTCCCCATAGCTATGGTTGCATTGATTGCAACTGTTGTAGGTTTTTTATTTTTATTTTCTAGATGAACTTTACTAACTAATTGTCACGGTTGTTGCAGATCTATGCCATACTGATGGACTGGAGGAGTGGCAATCCACCGTCGAGCTTGCAAGTCAAATCGTTCAATGCTACTGTCTACATTAGCATTTACAAAGCCCATGAAGCAACCCTCACTCGGATCTTTGAAGGCAGTAAAAAACAGTATCACGTGCTGATGGCACGGCTTTACAAGGCTGTCTGGTGCATTTCATCATCCTCTGATCGAATGCCTGCCATTAACATACTATGTTAGTGTGTCGGACAATGTGTTGCTGCCATCTGGTGCGTTGAGCAACTTCGACTACCTCGATCTCAGTGCAATGTCTGAGGATTGAACTAAGGTTGTTGTGCTGTGTGCACCCGCAGATACCCATGTATTACTGATCTCACTTTGTACATTTTGATAGTTGTCTTAGTTTGATAGTCATCTCAGATACCCATGTTCGTGTATATCATTTACTGACCCAACTTCGTACATACTGACAGGCCATTCTGATCCAATATAATGTTGATTTTCGTGTATTTTAACAATGACCAATGAGTGAATTCGACCTAATTCATTGGAATTATGACCGTGAATTCGACGGTATTCAGAAGAAATCACTTGGAATTCAAACTAATTCATTGAAACTATGACTGGACTTAAATAAAACAGTAAAACATGATTTCGCTGAAAATCAAAGGAAAACCAGGGATTTACTGGAAATTACCTCAATTTCAGGGGGGAGGCTTTCCCTGATGTGGCGCGAAGGCTGTGATTCTTCATATGTTTTTGGAATAGCTGCTGTGAGTATTCGGTTGCATAATAAGAAAATGCCAAGTTCACATTTGACAACCTATTCGTTTGGTAAAACACAGGGCCCTTGACTCCCACACGTTACAAACTTGCTTGAACTGATTGAGATGTTCATCATATGCTTCAGATGGAGTCCTGTGGGTATGTCACATCATATCCAACATCAGAGAATTTTGTCAACAATGGTATACCGGCATAGCTTAGAAGAGTACACTTAGCTTATGACACTGGAAGCTCTAAATAATCTTGCTTGTGACGTCCAATCTTCACAATCAGTGGATTGCGTGAGTATTTGCAAGCCTCCGGTCTAGCTGCCGAATCAAACAAAATATTGTGATGACCGCTCAATTATCTGCTAAACAATATGAACATTAGATTTCCTTCGTCAAAAACACAATCCGTAAACTCTAACATGACAGGTGCACTTGGTGGACGGGGGAACTGTGGTTTGCATTAGCATACCAAAATCAATGTCAGCTAATAGGACCAACACCGAAGAAAATGTCTGATGTGAAAATACATACTTCTCGTTTTCTGTCTGAGCAACAACGGAGCATTCAACTGAAATGAGAGATACGCTACATGCTAAACTCAAACTGCAAGACTATCAGGTTGGTGCTAGTTCTGAACAAGATCGGAATATTCTTCTGATGGGAAGCCTGGACACAATGATCATGAAGTCGCATGGCTCTGGGATAAGCTTCGCATAGCAAGACAGTTGGTTCAGATCAACCTCGGCAAAGACAAAAAATGATAATAACAACTATTCGCCTGGCCCACTCACATGCTGGATACAACACATTTCGTTTTGCAGAATGATTTGCCCTTTGGAGACTGAATGACAAGATGATGGAGTTGCGAGAAGGTGATGAGGTATGTACTTGTTGACAATGCAGGATCATTTCATTTCTATATACCAAAATGATTTGTGATGATTTGTATGTGCTAGAGCAAAAGCACGAACTTGTGGGTACATCTAGTACTATATAATTTCGACCTTAGGTTCATGGGAATTTCTGTGCTGCATTACATGATAGTTTTGTGACAGGTTCGTCTCTTGTGGACAGCTGTGGCAAACTTACAATAAGTTCTAGGGCTGCACACCATCTCCGTAATAGACAGTTTGTATGGCAACCATCGAAGGATACAGTTGCCATACCGGCAGGCCTGCAAAGGGAGACAGACAGGTATGGTGTACGGCCAAACCGTACACCATACAAGCCGTATTACATACAGCCTATATGGTCGGAATGGGTGCCAATTTATCCCATACCTTCTTGCCCTGAACCACCATGCTCTGCACCGACAACGACAACAACAGCGACGACTCTAATGGTTTGCTGTGTGTGCTTCATACTGATGGAAGCAGCACTGTCAGTATGTTCCTTATAATATTGTCTGACCGCGATACTAATTCTCCCTAACTATGTACGGTTCACCTTTTAACTCTGCCAGTGTTATTGCTGTTGTCATGGTATCCTACACTGCTTATTCATAGGCTCTCTGTTCTGTGCATTGGATTATCCTTTCCTGCAGTGTGCGACATTCATCTGAAAAGTCTCGTGCCACTGTTGTCCACCATATGTGGTTCCCCATGCTACCTCAGGTTGCCCATTTCCTACAATGCACTTTCTTACTTTCAACGTCATTCATTGCGCTTCAAATTCTCCAGTTGTTGGCTCTTGTGATCTTTCTTTAAGCACTGTGGTCATTGTGGTTCATGCACTGAGCTGTTTGCAGGCTGTGTGTGGTTGGATGGTGAGTTGATTATGGTGACTCACAACAAGGTGTCCATGTCATCATCTCTTCTTGTCTTTCAGGCATCCGATCAGATCTATCGCATTGTGCTGCATCAGTTGACTTCTTACCAATGTTATGATGTGGTGACATCTGCATCATTACCCTGCTTGTTTCCGGGAAAGCCTCACCATAATCAAAATCGCAGACAGTTTCCCCTGCGACCTCTTTTATGCAACGACTTTCAACAGATTTCAAGGGCTGACGCTTGAAAAGCCATGCTTGACCTGCGCACATATTTGTTCACACACAGACAGCTATACACCGCGCATTCAAGAGTATGACATTGCTGAGACATTCGAACAATATTTCCAAGAGAAGAAGAGGAAAAAACAACAGCAAATGTAATGTCAGAAGGTGAATAAAGTGCTTGTATGTACTATACATAAACCTATGTAGGTGCAAGTCTCAAGCCTGAGACTATCAGAATGTTGATGCTTGTGAAGGCAAGACTTTGTTTGGCTCATTTATAACTGATTTTCATTCTGTATGTACCGTACACTGGCACTACTGTATACGGCCATATTATACTCCATACTGTACTGTTCGCTTTGTCTGCCCCCAATGTCATATACAGTGTATGGGTTCACCATCTACCATATCTCTACTGTATGTGTACGGCTGTCTACCATATACGGTACAGTGTGCAGCCCTAATAAGTTCACAAGGGTTCATATGTAGTAGGATAATACATATATAGTGATGGAAAAGTCCGGTTCAGTCCGGTTCTCCAGGAAATTAGGAGAACCATGGACTGGACCATCGGTTCGGTTCTCCTAGTAAGCAGAACCATGGACCGGACCATCGGTTCGGTCCAATAATGGTCCGGTTCTGGTTCAGCAGAGGTTTGAACCGAGAACCGGACCCAAAAAAAAATGTCAAAATGTTTAAATGTAGCTAGGTACAAAAGTCCAATAAACTAAACTAGCGCAACATCCTTGTCATCTTCGTCATGTAATGCAGCAGTCAATGAATCCAGATGCTGTTCAGCATCGCTAGCAGCCGAGATGTGACCATTACGATAGGCACTCTTCAGCAGCTGCAAACTCTCGAATACATCCTCCTTAAGACAGTTCCATCATTTTGTTCCTGTAAGCCCCCCGCTTGAGAAAGCACGCTCCGATGCGGTACTACTACCCTGAATAGCCAGATAGTCTCTGGCCATGCGTGAAAGTGTCGGATATAATGATTGGTGATGCTGCAATAAAATAAGCTAGTTAGATACAAAAGGACTCGCAACAAAATAGAAACTTACACCCCACCAACGTACAATGTCTTCAGTTTGCTCAAGGGGACTCTGAAGGTATGCTGTAAGTTCAGCACAAGGCTTAGCCTGCACACGATCAGACACTTGACGGGCTTGCACAGCCACAAGGACCCATGAACGGCCATATTGGCCATGTCCAGCAGGTTCCTGCTCGGTGTTTTCACCTGCAGGTGCTGAGGCGCTGGGGACATAGTATGCATTAAACTATTTAAATGAGTCAGCACATAACTACGTCGCCAATAGACAAACAATGGTGCACTGGAGGAGTAGAACTTGCTGCAATGGGACCAGGGGCAGATATAGGCTCCTCGTCGTCTGGGTCATTGTGCCATATGATTTCGGAAGCATCTTTTAGATGGCCGTCAGGACCAACAGCGCACTGGTCAGACATGATTGTAGGTGGGAAAATGACAGATCAGCTCACCATGTAAATCACACAACCCAACTTTAAGCTGCACCTATCAATCGAAAAAAGCTCAGGAAATGTCAATCAGTAAATTAGTTGATAAATTACCTGAAAGTCGTTGATTGAAATTTGAGAATCTGAATGAGAGTCCAAAGTGGCATTGTCAAGGTGCCGGAGTCACAGATGGTGTTGGTGCCTCCTGGTGTGGTAAAAGGAGAGGCACCAGAGGGATATCCAAGACTTGCAGAGAGATGATGGATGACGCGGACGAGGCAACATCGAGGGCACTGACGAGGATAATGGATGACGAGGCAACATCGAGGTTGTCGTTAAGAATAGCCTACCGTTGTAGAACAACAATACAGAGAGGAACAAATAATGCTCCTAGCTGTATCTATAATAGTTGAAGGTTGTGCATTGCCTAGCCTGCGTTACTTGAGGAGACAAGTGCGTTCGACCCTAAAGGGGAAGCGAGTGCAGCCAAGATCTAGAGGTACGCGCTTCAGCGAAGCGCGAGAAAGCGCAGGTGCGCGCAAGGCGTGGGAACACGCGCGCATATTAGCACAAAGCACAGGAAAGCACGCACGCGTATGCGGAAAATGATAAAGACTAGACTCAAGTGATAATATAATGCAAGAAAAGAGAAGGGAGATGCGAAGTATAGACAAATAGACTTCTACTATATTCTGCTAAGTAGTAAGTAAGTGATAACTAGTAATTGGGAGGTAAAAGTCCCTTTTTAATAGTATGTACTGCTGGTGCTTATATAGCACGCCTAAGCGCGGTCATGCGGAGCCGAAGCGCTACCGAGTAGGTATGTAAAGATATATATGAGTGAGAATCCATGATAAAAATAAAGGTGGAACTATGCTAATAAAGGAAATGGAAATATACGTACTAGGGAGCTTGGTGGACAGTGGATGGATGCTTCTGGATGGCTGGTGCCATAGGGCGCGCAAGCGCAGGAACGCATGTGCGTATACATCGCGAAGCGCGGGAATGGCGCGCGTTGCGCGGGAAAGCTGCGCATCATATAGAGATAGCTGTGGGTAGTGCACAGAGTGACGCT